AATATAGTACAGCAGCAATATGTGTGTATAATTGTCCTCTTTAAAAGTACCTTTTAAATTTAAATTCAAGCTGCAATTATTTTAGATATGCAAATGATCAAACTGTGGGTAATGCTACAAGAGAAATGCATAACAGGTTCAAAACAGAATAGAAATGGTTATCTCTTCCTTAGGCTTACTGAAGATTTCCTGATAAAATCCAAACATTTTCAGCTGAATAAAATAAATAACACCTTGTAAAGTTTATATTCTTCTGTCAGTCCAGTGCTCTCTCTCCATCTTCTTTCAGAGAAACTCTCCTCTGCATGAAGAGGGTTTAACCTGTAATACCAAATTTGCTGTTATTACACAGTATTTTGCATTAAGAAAAGCACACAAGCAGTGTACTGAGAGCATATAGCAGTTGTAACAAACAGCTGAATCACAGTACAATTCTCCTTTGTCTTACTAGCCTCTCTGCATGCTCATCATCCTGATGCTGGGCATTCCCAGTCACCAGAGAGGAGCAATAGTCTAAAACTAGCTTAAGTCCATTGACCTCCTGAAGTCTATGTTAGTTATTCTTCAGTTTTTATGTCCTTTGTTGGGCTAAGCCTTTCACCAGGCTTGTCTTGCCAGCTCAAGAAGGCAACAATCTCTACTAGTTAGCCCTAGAAAGGCCTCTTACACAACCAGTTTGTACACTCAGCTGATAAAAACAGTTGATCTTCTGATATTGCCATTTATCTAAAACAAAGGCCACCCACTGTTCCCAGCAGTATTGAGGTTCAGCTTTCTTTGCAACAGTCAGTCATTCCCTACATTCTTGCCTTATCTTCCAAGCACATTGATCTTGCCCATTTCATCAGAGCTGTTTTCCATTGCAGGGTTTTGTTGATCAATCATAACTCCTTACGCTTTTTGTAAAAGGGACAATTCCTACATGCGAATTCTTGAATTTGTCTTTTTGCATCTCCTTTTTATTCCTTTGGAAGTAGTTTGTTTTTTCTAGTAAACAGAAATTCAGAGAAATTCTTGGGCATACTTTCATTCACATCAGAACTGATTTTCTGAAACAAATTTTCCACTCCCACATGCTGTTTCAGTTAATTTCCACAAAAAGTCTTTGAGCTTGTAATTTTTTTTTGCTTCAAGATTAAACAAAACCTAGAAGATGCAAGGTGCACTTAATGCCTTATAGGTATAAGGCATATGCTTCATTTATATGCTCATATGCTTCATTTAAGTAGTTTTACTACTGGATAGGTACTATAAATGCAAAATACATATAATCTAGAGGTCAGATCCTCAGCGTCAGGTGTTGCACTTTGCAAATTTGTCCTTATTCCACTCTAAAGAAGCTGCCAGTGACTTATTTGGAATACAGAAAATCTTTTCTGTATCAGAGAGATCCTGAGGCATTACATTGTGGCAAGTCTAGCTCACAAAAAGTGTTTTGTAAGAGTAGTTGTTTCATTGATCTTTGTTTAAACACTTATGTTCAATAATGGCTGCATGAGAAGATAATTTCCTAACTTTATACATTTAAGACATATCTATTTTCATGCCCACTTTGATGACACCACACAGAGACATGCCCAAACTTGTTAGCTCAAAAACTGGCAGAAGCCCATCTAGGAATCAGAAGCTTCCTTCTAAAAGCCCACTTTGAATCCTGTCTTGTTTTGACTTTCTTCTCTCATTACCATGATAAACATAATGATAATTTACATAAGCCTGCAGAATTGCTTTCCAGTTGCAGTGTCACTTTCCAGGTACAGTATCTTTTTATTCCTATTTTCCTCCTTCACAGACAACATAGTTTCCTGGACACTAATACAAGTGGCACAGTTTATAAGACACTTGCATGTGAGTAGCATATTGGAATGTTGTAACAAATTACAATCAAGGCTCAGTAAGACATCTGATAAACATAAGACATTGTCTTCAGTGTCTTTCAGGTAAAGAACAATGACTACTCTGTATTTTTGTTGAGAAGGAACATGAACAATCCTTCAGAAAAAGTGAGTGTTGAGGCAGGTGTTGTTGCTGATATAATCAAGGTAGATCACTCTTGGTCTTATTAGCTTCATATTTACAGAATCCTAAAATATTTTTGCACTATGGAATTATGATATTCAGAGACTGATGTCTTTACATAAATACTGTAGTAAAGTTGCATTCTAATTCTATGTTGCAGTCGTTTTCCCCTTCATTTCTTCTATTGGCTCTTTTTCTATGCTAGGAGATAAGTAATAAACCTGCAAAGGATGATGCAAATCTTTGCATATCAAATTAAATTAGAAAATCAGTTTAATTAGGAAGAGAAGAATCACAACCCACTGTAACTCATATACAATCAGGCAAGGTCTTCATCTGGATTTAAAGGTGAGAGTTCTAATAAGGAGCTCCCTCCATAATGAACTTGTTCATTAACTATTGGCATAAAATATGTTAATAATTTGTGCAAATACATACATGTAAAGAGGGCCTTTTATATTTTGACTTTTAACTTTCTGTATTTATTTTTTGTTAACTTTGGATAAAAAAAAAGATTGTATTTTCTGAATATTTGTTGTGAAGTTAGTCTTGGGGAAACTAATGTGTATTTTCAGTCAGTGATCTAGGTATGTCAAGCATCTCTTAAAATGTATCCCAATTACATTCTCCTTTAATAGTAGAACATGGTGGCCTGGGAGTGCTGCTGTTATGTCTCTTCATCTTCTTATGAAAATTAGGTATTTGTCCCTCTTGGACCGAATTAGTTCTTACAAGCTTTTGTATTTTTGTCCTGTCCTTTGGAATTATTTACCTTTTCTTCATTAAGGTTGAGAAGATATGAGGAATGTGACCTAGCTCCTCTAATAACAAGACATAATTTGTATTGCAGAATTTGAAAGAATGATCAAAGATAGACCTCTCTTTTAGGTATATTTTTTTTCTAATTTCAGCCCCATGATAGAAAGGTTTAAATGAAACCAGTTAGAAATAGCCTGACAATGCTACCTTTGTTTTGCTCAGTTAGCTTGCAATACTCAGGGCCAAACCAAACAGTAACACTTAAGGCTAAAATCTAGCTGTAGGCAAAAGTTGTGAATTAAATGTGGTTGACATAGGACCTCAATATTTATAGAATAATAAGGTATATGACTTTCTGCTAAAGACAGTTAAACCCCATGTGGAGCACACTATCCAGAAATAAGTGGTTTGAATGTTTCTATATTGAATTATATTTATTGACAGAAAAAATTACCTGGAGTTTTCAGTTTACCACACACAAATTATGGCCCTATAATCTATAATTTGGATTGCAGAGAGAGGCACTACCATTCATTAGAGTGACAATATATTGTCTAGCCAAAGATTGTCACTGACACAAGACAAAGAGCAATTCTGCCAAGCTTTATTAAGGTCTCAGGATGTGCTTGTATAAGTGTCTCAGATGGGTTTGGGAGATCTCTAGTTCCTATTTTTTTTCCTTTTGTCTGCTATTGTTGACATACCGGCATAGTCTTAAGATATATGAATAGGATACCTTCAGAGTGAAACAAAGGTGTAAAATTGACCTCAGGACTACCAAATGTAATTGCATCTCAAATGGGCTTCTAGTCCATGGGATCAGACTAGGAGTAGTCCGAATCACTTCAGGAAAAGAAAAGAAAAAAAGTTCCACAAGCCTTGACATATGCATAGCATGTGAATCAGGTATTTTGCATCAGATGATTGTCTACAGATTTATTGATCCCTGCTATTTGCCAATGTAGACATAGTTTAAGTTTGCTAATAGATTAATCAGCATTCAGAATAGATATGTCTGATATCTTATGTCTTAGTAGTTAGACTAACTATAATTTACCAGTCTTTAACATAGGTGTAATTAAAAACTCAGCTTTTGTGTATGTGGGTGTTCCTCCAATTGTCACTCTTCAGCATATTATTTTGTCCAGATTAAGTACAAACTATATTCAGTCCAGATTACTTTTACTCTCAGAAATTATGTAGAAAGAAAAACAGTTCTGTCAGGGACAACTGATAATTAATGTAAAGGAAACGTCATTTGTGTATTTGCAAACTTCCAGTGCTACAGCCAAAAATCCCTACTCTACTGTTAAAAAAAAATCTTCAATACAAACTTTTTGGATTTCCTAATAAGTCTGTTTGCTTCATTGGTTGGTTGGTTTGGGTTTTTTATTGTACTGTCTCTATAGAGAAAATCATCCAAAGTTTTTTCAGGGATCAATCCTTCTGGATGCTAGTACCTCATTTAGATTAATGGAATAATTCATATTTGTAACTGATGCTTTAGTCTATCTGTAAACCAAGACTCGCTGTACTGTAACAGTGCTGCTCAGTTTCCTTACTATAATTTAATCTCAGAACCATGAATGTAGGTGTTATGACCTGCATCTTAACACAAGGTTTATTCAGGATCCTGTAAATAAATCCTTTGGGGTGAGTTAGAGAGAAAGGACACTGAATGATCGGTGTTTATAAATATATATATATATATATATATATATATGTGGAGGATTCACTTTAGAACAACTTGGTATGTACATATTTTTATCATTGTCTACAGTAATATAGCAATATAATAGCATTAAAAATATCATTTAAGAAAATACATAAGGAAAATAAAGAAAAGATAAGAGTAGAGAGAGCTCACCACTTGTGGATCCAACAAGACTTGATTGTTCTAATTTAGGTTTTTGTTGGCCAAAGTGATGGCTGCATTTTTGATCTGTCTGATGTGGGAGAAGCCCACAAAACACGAAGTGCAATTGATTTTGCCACTACACATCCAAAAACTCTCCTCCTCCCCTTTGGTTTTTGGGGGAGGGAGGGTGGTACAAACCCTGACGGAGCACCCTGCTACCTCTGCAAATGGCAGACTGTTTTGAGTCATTGACCAGTAACATTGCAGTCTCTCACAGCAGGAAAATCACACAGAATAATCCACAGAATATTCCCATTTGGAAGGGACCCACAAGGACCATTAAGTCCAGCTCTTCAGTGAATGGTCCATACAGGGTTTGAACCCACAGCTTTGGTGTTGTTGGCACCATGCTCTGGCCGGCTGAGCCATGTATATTTGTGTGTGCATTTTCACGTGTGTGGCCATGCAGATACACTTATGCAATCAGTCTTTTCACCCAGGTGTGAGGGATAGGAAGGAAGAAGGTGGGAAAGAGTTTTTAGTGAAAGTGCCTTAATGCAGCTATTTCACTTTGATCCCTTTGATCTTTTTGGCTCTTAGTCTAATAAACAGTAGTCAGACATCACAATTACTAGTGTCTAATCTTACCATTTTTTGTCATAAAATTACTTCACATCCATCCAAACCTTTGTTAAGTTTCTTGAACATAGAACTATTAAACTACTATTAAACAAGCAAACAAAAAACTAAAATAAAACAAAAGCATACATTGCTCCTTTGGTTTCAGTTTTTGAAATTATTCTCTTCTGTAATGAAAAATCCAAAGTTTCAGGACTTTTCTTTAAAAAGTGGAGATTTAAGTAGTTTTAGTTTCAAGAATTGATTTCAAAGCATAAATAAAAAACTTTTTTGTTCTGCTGTCATTTTGAAAAAATAAATTATAATTATATGAACAAAACAGAACAAAATAATCATCTTCCTCTAGTATATCAAAGCATGTGCTAATTTTTCGAGACTAAATAAAAATACTAAATATACACTTATCATATGCTGTAATGCAAAACTTTTGAAAAAGCCCATATAAATAAATGGCATGGGACTTTATGTCACATTATCTATTTCTGAAACTCTCAAACTTTAAAGCAGTCATAGCAGCATGCATTTTTAGTTTATGCACTATTTTTTCATCTATAAGTTATGAATCTTACATAATGCTAAATTCATGCTTGATTTGTTAGCATCTGAGTTCCTTGGGGATTTTATTTTTGTGGTAGACTGTTTCATATAGAACACTATTAAAATCAATGTGAATATAAAGTTCCCTGCATTTATGTAAGTTATTGTACAAAAACTCATACTCATTTGGACCTTACCTCTGTGTGAGTGATCCCTTCATAATTTCATTTTCTTTCTCACTCTGTCTAGCTGTCTGCTAGAAAGGTGACTTAACAGAAACTCTGCGTGGCAAGTCTCTTTTTATGGTCCTGCATTTCAGGGACCAATTGATGAGAGGATGTAGCTGCCTGAAAGAATTTTAGATACGTAAGGGTCTGAAGGACCCTCAGATGCTTTTCACTAGCAAAAATGTTGCAACAATTGTACTCTCTGTCCTTCTCTTTGTTGCTTCTGTCCAAAGAGTTAGTTGCATTTTGATAATTTAAATCATCATCTGCAAAATTATATTCATGCAAGAAACCTATATCCCTTCCACCTCTGACATTTGGAGAATTCTGGTCTTAATTGTATTTTCAGAAAACTATTTTCAGAAAATCAAACTTACTGACTTCTGGTGATTATATTGAGCCAGTGACTCATATGGTAGAAAAGGTGCTACAAACCCCCACTAATAATTTATGATCCAAAGCTGGTTTTGCCCTCATGCCATAAATTCAGCTATGTGTGCCATGAGTAGAATATTGCTACTCCAGAGAATAAAGTTACCATTTCATCATCCTTTTCATCGTTTTTTGGTACTAGGATTTCGCTTATCTTTAAATAGAAGATCCAAACAAGAGATATAAAACTATTATAAAATATTGCTAACACTGAACTGCCCCCTCAAGCATTTCACTGCATTTTATAGGAAAAGAACTGCTCAGGAGTTATGTAATTGATTTTAAAAGGTTCTTCAAGATACATAAAAATTACACCTGAACTGAAACCAATTATTAAAGGAGATGAGAAAAGCCATGTGGGGGGCTGGTTTTCCCCTGGATATCTCTACAGACCTTCTTAAAATATTGCACAAGTACAATATTGCACAAGTTTGTTTTCCTTTCAAGTCTGTGACAATTTGTCAGTGAAGTGAATTTCCAGAGAAAATGTAAAATAGGAATAAATGAAGAGAGAAGAGTAATGAGATTTGCCTTAACAACAACAACAACAAAAAAAAAACCAAAACAAAACAAAAAAAAACCAACTTGAAGAAGAATTTCAGAGATATCTTCTGAATGTATGATCTGGGGACACAGCCAGAATTGCAATAAAGAGGAAAGTATGAGAGACTTCGGAAAGGACAGACATTTATGAGAAAATCCCACACGTCTTTCAAACCAATAACCTGAAAACCACTCCAATAAAATGTGATACCTGTATAAGCCATGAGACAGTCAGGAAAAAACCCAATAATTTAACAGAAACACAAAGTGCAGTAAAAATCAAAATCAGCAAATAGTGTAGGTAAGGCAAAGGAACATGATTCACATATCTATATAATGGAGTGTTTGCACTTCAGACTATTGTGAAAAAGCATACAGAACAAGAGATATATGAATATTTACAAACTCTGTAACTGGAAAATTCACAATGGTAAAAATGTTGTCTCATCAAACTTCCTGGAAGAAACATGTAAAAATATTGCATGAATGATTAAGGAACCCAAGTTACTACAGAAAAACCTTAATACCAATTATCTAAAAATACAAAAGTACAATATGATGTAAATAGGTAGAATATTAGAGTATGATAAAGCATGTAAAATTGTACTTAATATGAATATATGTGTATATATATTGATAGAAAGGTATGCATTGGTACACATTTCACACAGAATAGTCCAGTAGAAAAAGCAATATAAATGAAACTGCTGAAGTATATATTTGGTATGACATTGATAGTCAATTGTTTTTCTATTGGTACTAAGACATAGAGTAATATAATATATTTTCACAATTTTACATCATGTCTTAAGTTTAAGCATTCACTTTTCAGAGTATTGCTATAAAATAAAATACAGATAACATAATTTAATAATTATTTTAGCAAAGGTGGTATAACAAACTAGCAATGAAGGTCTTCAGGTTCACTGGAGCAAAAAAATTATGTGAGCTGGGTTTGGTGAAATTTCCTTTTGAAAACTTTCCTACAAAAATATCTTGAAATGTTTGAAATTTCTCAAATATTTTCAGGACATTGGCTCACTTTTCATTTTAAAATGTCAGCTAAATAATAGCAAAAAAATAAACATAAAAATAAACAATTTTGCAACAGTCTTCATAATTTACACAGAAAAATGTTCCTATTTTTCAATCTATAAAAACTATCAGATTTCCTCTTACTGTATTCAGGATTGCATTTATTTTTTCATCTTCCAAATTCTATTTCCTATCATATTTTCAAGTGGCAATTGTGGGTAACGAACAGCATTTCTGATAATACCAGTCCTCTTTGTTATGAAAGTGAACTCACTAGCTTAGTGGCTCCTATTTTAACTGTAATTTAATTGATGCTGAAAAGCACCACAAGCAAATTAGTAATCAAGAATTTAAAATATTAGTGTATGATTTTGACATTATGTTCATATAGGAATGGAAAGACTAAAAGTATTGAATCTGATGAAATACCAAAAAATTCCTATTGCTCTGAAATAGTCTTACATTGCTCAGAGACTGTGTAGCAAAATATTGTGCATAGATGCTTAGAAGAAAATGTATCTTGTATGAATCAAAATAGCCATTTCAAGATCTACTCTATCTTTAAATGGAACTCTATTAAATTGGAGGAAAGAACAAATTTGCTAAGTGAGCAGTGAAACTACAATGAGAAGTGACCCATCTCACTGTCTCAGTATCAAAATACACCAAGGACCATCCCAAACTCTCTTCCTGTGTCAGTTTCTTTCCCCCTTCCATCAGTGTCTAAGAGAAACAGATGGTTGCCATAGATGCTGCCTACAGCCAAAGGCCAGGATGGAAGCTGTGAACTTGTCTGGGCTTTGCTGTAGGTGCTGCACAAATTGAGTCTGAATGATTTGATTGTATCAGTCTCCTGGCTGTTTCACTAGCCAGTATGAACTTTCACTAGACGGCGTGAAATTCATTCGCTGCTTCCTTCAGTAAGAAGCAGGGAAATAAAGAACCAGCCAAAAGCAAAAACATAATCAAGACAGATAGATTGTCTTGGTTTATTAATAACTGTGGTTTGTTGAGCAAAAAAGATAATGTCTCTGTGTATAAGACACTCCAATGGATAAATATCTTCCAGATTCTACTGCATGAACTGAAACTGAAAAGGTGATGTGACCTTCTTGAACCGAAATGCCAGGGATAAGGAAGACAGAACATTTTACAGATGCTAGAATGACTTAATTGCTGTTTTACAGGCTTGTAATGGATTAGTTACCTTTCAGAGGCTCAAAACACAATAATGATATTGAAATACTTCTGTGAGCAATCACCACCCTTCCAGTTGGTTTTATGAATAAAGGGCATAATCTAACATGTCTCAACAACACTCAGCAAGAACTCAGGACAACACTATTTTCACATTTATGTCCAACAGCCATAAGCTCACTGAAATTTGCAGTCAGTAAGGCATGACTGATCAAAATGAAATATTTGCTTTAGGTAAAAAGATACTCTGCAGAAAGGTGTGACATTTACAAAAGCAATTAGGGGAGGTTTGCAAAGTGCTTTCATATGGCACGACTGATGACTTTACAACGTGAATAGCTGGGTTAATCTAACTAGGACAAGAGACCTAGAGGCAGCATTTAATGAAAATGAAGATTATTCAAATGATGACATTTAAAAAAAAATTATTTATACTGAGTAATGCTTTCTGGAAAAAAAGCCCATGCATTCACCCAAAAAGAGACGTGGAACTGATCACAGAGCACATAATCCTGAGCTCCTTGTGTTATATTCAGCATTTAAAACAAACAAAAAAGATGGAGATTTCTATATGCTTTCTCTTTTCAAGGTAGGTTTAAGATAATATTTTATCAAACTGAGAACATTTTGGAAAATTTTGTAAGCAGAATCATTTCAAGACTTTTTTTCAATTTCTGAAATCCTACAAGCATTTCCCCATCATTTTGCTGTGATTTTTAGACACCTGTACTACCTTGGTCTGTACTAAATATGTGAAGCTGAAGTGTAGTTGGTTAAAAAAAAAAAAAAAAAAAAAAAAGGGACATATTTAGCTAATTACCTGAA